ATTTCAACAAATCCTCAGTCGACCTCCGACTCTTGAGCCATTCACACGCTCGATTCATACCGTCCACTTTGACACAAGCGAGACACTTGTGATCAAGCATGATACTATAAAGCCGAGATGGCTCGTATCATTCACAATGGCGAGACACCATTGATGAAAATCACTAAACAAAGCATGATACTTAAAAGCCGAGATGGCCCGTATCATTCACAATGGCGAGACACCATGATGAAAACTTACTAAACAAAGGCGAGACACCTTTGCTTACCAGCCCCTACGTCCCTAAATTTTTCCTTTTTTTTATTAATCGGACTCTGCAGCTGATGAAGGTCACTTGTTGACCGAAAAGCGCTTTCTGCAACCAGTCCACCCTCCCCCTTCCCTCGACAGGCGAGACGCCTCTATTGTGCCAATCACGAAATGCCCTTTTCAGGGCCCCCTGTGTAGATCGGTATCTATAAATCTCATACGAAGTAGGCGAGACACCTACTCTCGTATAAAGACGTTCTTTCCCTACAATAAAGGCGAGAAGCCTAACACACTCTAAGAGTCGCTCCCTACTCAGCACGGAATGTCCTTTTCAGGGCACCCTACATATATAAGTGACTATGTATCTCATACCAGGCAGGCGAGACACCTACCTTCCTATCAAAGACAAGTGGTTCTCATAATAAAGGCGAAAAGCCTAACACACTCTAAGAGCCGCTGTCTACTCTGCAAGGGGCGCTGTAAAAATACACGTCCTCAGAGGCCCAGCTCTGAATCGTGTTATTCTGGTAAAGTGGAATCTAACTAGGTCATGAGCCCACCACCCCCAACACACGGCAGTGGCCCCGAGTTATAGTAAGCAATATGTATAAAAATATCAATACAAACTGTAAGGGGTCATGGAAAAGTAAACATATTTCATAAGAATCAAATGCAAAAATACTATATTTCGTGTTCCTTGGTTTGTCTTTTTCAGTTATTTCAGTCGTGACTTTTAAATAATACGTTTTACTATTCAGATCGAACAGGCCAACAATGAAGACTTTACCCGATATTGGGTAACTAAGTTCAAAAAGCACTTTGACATGTTTGACGTCAACCAAGACGGGATTGTAACGGAAGAGGAGCACACTGTTGCGACAACCGAACGTGCTAAACGTGTTTTGCCATCATGGAGAGCTAAGGCAGTGTATGGTGCTATGAACATGGCCTATAAGACCTGGTGGTCAAATGAATACACCGACTATAAGACGTCTATTGCATTTGAGGACTGGGTTCCGTCTGAAGAAAAGCTTTTCAACTTTACAAGTGATTTAGTAGTCGAATGGGCCCTGGATGTTTTCCATATTGTTGACCTTGACTGCAGCGAAGAGTTAACACTAAGTGAGTACTCTAAATTCCTTGATATATTTCGCAACACGGCGGATAATAAAGTCATTTTCAGCGACATTGACAGGGATGGTAATAACGTCATTGATGCTAAGGAGTTTACGTATGGGATAAATCATTTTATCTACGACCAGGCCGCCGACTCCGCCGAGTATGTTTTCGGCTCTCGAGATAAAAAATGAAAGATTTGACGAGCAACAATTTCGACGGTTATCCATTTGCTTTCGAAAAAATGATGACTTTTCTGATGTTCCTAATCCAAAATCACAGTTGCAGTGGAACTGGGCATCATTAACTCAGCACATTCACTTTGTACATTATTCAGAACAAGGTTTATTTTTGGCGCTTGAGATTAAAAGGGTTTGACATATAATCAGGCTATTGATTATATATTTAACCTTCAATAAATGGTAATTTTCTGGCATTTTTCAATTGAATTCAATATAACTGTCGCAGTTGTTCTGTGCTCCTGTGTTAGCACGCCCCTTGACCGCGCTTTGCTTCTGGACATTCTTCAGAAGTAACATTGTACGGTTTTCTTTTTTTCACATAAGAATTTTAATCTCGATTTTTAAATTCTAGTTTTTGTAGTGCATGCTTCAAGTATCGAAAGTTATCCTTTTATACTGTTAGTAACATAAGTATTGCTTGACCCTTCATTCTTCACATTTTGTATTTGAAAAAAAAACGAGCTTAACCATAATTTCCCAACAAATAAATTAAACTAAGAAATACTAGTACATTTTAATGAAACTCATGCACCTAGAGCGCAACCGTAATTTCCCAACAAATAAATTTGATTAAGAAATATCTGAATGAAACTCATGCACCTTAAATATACAATTGCAAAATGCAATAAAAAGGCGGGATCCTGGTTATTGCATCCCCTTACATATAGTTGCCGTTTTCATCTACATGGTCAACAACTTCCCCAAAAGTATTCTCCACATCCAAAACATTAGCTGCCTTCTCTGTACCATTAGCCTCTTGTTTGTTTATTTATGAATTGCAGCATCCCGTTTCAGAAACTACAGTACTGCAGTACAGGGTCTACCGCATAGGTCTCCTTCTGTATACGCCGATCTAGGGGCGGATCCAGCGATATTTTCCGACAGTCTTCCAAATTATCTTTGTTGAGCCATCCTCCAATTTCTGACCGTCTTTCGACCAAAAAAAAAAAAGTGATGCCCTTCAATGTAAACTTGGAAATTTCTGACCGTCTTCGAAAACCCAGAAGACGACCTCCATCTGCCCTTGCCAATCTACATTAATTTTGTATCAAGTGCATGTATATTTCAGTTTAATAGATACGCATTTAACATATCACTGCCCCTTCAGCAGGCGCACATTGAGCAATGTACCCGTCACAAGTGTTGCCCGTCACTGTAAACTTGGAAATTTCTGACCGTCTTCGAACACCGGAAGACGGCCTCCATCTGCCCCTGCCAATCTACACGTAACTGCCCCCCCCCTGCCCCCCCGGAGGCTACGGCCCTGACTTGTGTATTTACTGTATATATATTTTTACAGTAGCTTATCCACGTTTCAACTGACATACAGTACGGGTTAGCTCTCGCTTTATATGTACACGTACGTCATTTTAATCCGACGTACTTGTCACTCGCCTGACAGACAAAACGGGCAGCGATCCGCATGTACATGTAAGATACATCGCACATGTGTAATAGTTTTTTAAAGAAATTTTATGAATGAATTTGTTTAAAGGGTAAACAGTAAATGTAATTTTAAAGCTATGTTAACTATGTCTTACAGCTTGCTTTTAATACTATAATGTTTTAGCATTAAATTTTATCATTGTAAAGTCTACTAAACTTGAAGGATTTTAGAATTTAAGTATTATTATTATTATTATTATTATTATTATTAATCCACCAAAATAATCCAGTTTCATGTAAAGCAGCAATCAAAGAAAACATTGAAATAAACTGTGGCCAATCAGTATATGGGGCACTTTAAAGAAGCCGTATTGGGATCGGTAGGCCTACCCAATCCTCCACGTCTTTGGTTGAGATATGTAGATCACACATTCACCATCTGCCACAGCCTATTAAGATGTACATTAAATTACATATATGTCGAATAGCTTAATGGTAGAAAGTCTAAATAGCCAGCCAATAGTCAATAGTTAATATACTGTACAAATAAGTTACTTGTCCTACCTGCCAAATCAATGGCTAAGAATGAAAATATCAATGAAATCGCACCGATAACGTTTATAAGACAATAACGTTAATTTCTATGTTGTGGTGAGTCAATTAAAGCATGTATGTACGGGTATGTACTGTATTAGGACCAATGTATGTGATTTTATGTGGGATCATAGTTGATTACATTTATATCATGTACGCACCAGGGTCTGATCCAGGATTATTTGAAGGGGCGTACGCGGGCGTGAAGCCCCCCTCCTTGTCGTGGGGTTCGGGGCCCGGTTAAGGGCCCCAAAATTTTCGGTATTTTAGTGGCCGAACGATGCCATTTGGACCGGATTGGAACTAAGCTGGTCAAAATTCTAGTTTCAAGGGGGACCATTGGTTTGAGTTATTTTCAGAAATCGAAGGGGGGGGGGTCAATACCAGCACTTTCTTCCTTTGCAAAGCATACAAAATACACATTGATTTCACTCCAGGCTCTTGCTACCTGAAAATACACCTTATGTATAGAGAAGTCACAGATAATGCAGGGTACAAACAAAATTACCGTTTTGTCTTGCATGTTGCACTATATAAAAATGGTATGCTAAACACCTTATAGGCATGCGATACAAAAAAACTACGCCATTTTCGTCTGTCGTGAAGTGAAAACTTGACCATGTTCGGTGAAGGTCAGAGAGGAACGCCAGTCTTTAAGAACTTAATTATCAAATTGTACACGGAGTAACAGGGGCGGATCCAGAGATATTTCCTGACAGCCTTCCCAATTGTCTTTTTTGATCCATCCTAAAATTTCGATCCTCTTCTGACAAAAATTTAGATACCCGTCATTATCGACTTAAAAATTCTGACCGTCTTCCAGAAGACCTAGACGGCCTAATCTACCCCTAAATAAGACATCGAATCTAAGTGCAGAGCGGATTACCTTGACCTCGAGTTGACTTTTACGTTTGAGAATGTGAGACCTTCACCGAGATAAGATAAGTGCCTCATGTTCATTTCACACGCTAGTTCCTGTCTCTTCGACTGCCACAAGAGGGAGATTACGAGGAGTAATTGAAAAGTTTTTTAGCATGACCCTGGAAATACAGACAGTGGTTCACCATATTTTGTATTCTGTGAAAACAGAATGGAAAGGACTGGAAACCAGCTCCTGTAATTTTGTATCAAGTGCGTGTATATTTCAGTTTAATAGATACGCATTTAACATCACTGCCCTTTCAGCAGGCGCACATTGAGCAATGTACCCGTCACTGTGCATGTATGCTTGTACTGTCATTATCAAAATAACTTTGCACATCCTGTGTGCTTAACACCTCCGCTGTACATAATCTTAAATGTAGTACCTGGATCACCCACCATTGCAAAGGCGGCAAGTCGTGACCAAACGATCCTTTAAACCCTAACCCAAAAGATAACCTTCTCAGTTGGAACTTGTAAGTCAATCGAGTACACCGCATATTGCGTGGTCATCAGTGTCTTTGCAATGTCAGACTTACTGTTTCTCGCTCTGGTGGGGTTTCTTGCCGCCGCTGAGGTGTCTGGTCACGGGCGTTTAATCGATCCTCCTTCCCGGAATAGCGCGTGGAGATACGGGTTCAAAACCCCAACCAACACGAACGACCATGGGCTGTTTTGCGGAGGCTCCAGGGTAGGTGGACGCGTCACATCATGTCTTTTTTGGTCCCGCTTAGTCTTTGCTGCACGTTGTATCGAATACGAACCTGCTGTCCGAGTTGCAAAATTGGATAGAGGCCGTTACCTATGTTTATACGATATCAAAATTCGAGAAATAAATTGTTTTGTGAGCCTCATTCTAATATACTCTTGGTGTTTTGACAAGCTACGTGTAAGTAAAGCGAAATATGCAGAATCGAGACAAATCAAAATGACTGTACATACATATTGTCCAGATGTTGAGAGAGAATTTTGTTTTATTTGTTTTTTTGATATCGTTTACTTTTCAGAGACAATGGGTAACAAATGGCGGAAAATGTGGCATCTGTGGTGACCCGTATGACGGACCACGTGAGCATGAAGCGGGCGGTCGCTACGCAACCGGCACCATCGTGCGCACCTACCAATCAGAAGACGTCATCGATATAGCTGTGGAGTTGACTGCGGCTCATCTGGGATATTTCGAGTTCAGGATTTGCCCTCATAATGATCCCAACACACCTGCAAGCCAAGAGTGTTTGGATAAACACGTATTGAGGGTAGGGACATTTCCTTCCACACCCCTTCCAATCCGCTCTCATCAGTACGATTGCTAAACTGGCGTTTCATTCTCTTTTTCGACTTGCGTTGATAAGATGTCAATTGTGAAATTAAATTGTGAATTTTACTTATAGTAATATACTTATAATAATAACTTTTTATCATTGTAAACGCTTACGTGCAGTAACCAATCACGATTTTATATGTCGAATAACGAGCAGCATATTTCAACGCTTTAAATACGGGTACTTGTACTTAAACACCAGGTTAAAAATTACGCACAATGTATAAATAAATCCTGAGAACACCAAACCCTTCTCTTAGATTTTTTTTTTTATTCTGTCTCTGTAGCGAGCAGACGACAGTGGTGTACGGTTCCCCATCACAGGTGGCGCCAGTGTCTACAAGATGAAGTACAAGCTGCCGGTCGGCATGGTGTGTTCTCAGTGCGTTATGCAGTGGAAATACCATACAGGTACGGATCCATTTCCCTTTTATATTGCAGTTTGATCGATATAGATGTATTCCATCGTATCTCACCGTCACGTCTGACTCAAATGTCATTATAAACAAAATGTTTCCGAATATTGAAAGCTATCTGCGTTGTTTGATATAATATGTATATATCCTGATGAAATTGGCGTACACTGTAATATGATTACTTTTGAATTGGTAAGGCGCATTAAGACACTTCCACACTTACATACCGCAAAGTAATGTGCTGGGAATCACCAGAAGAGTAATTGGCTCGAATCAAAGTTGAATGCCTTGTCTCCCACCGACCCACCCCGGGATATGATCCTACTCAAGCTATGCGATTCCAAAAGTTCTCTCAGCAAACCTGCTTCTTTTCCAACTTTTCTAGGGAATAGCTGGGGCACTGACCCAGATACTGGTCGTGCGTGTACTGGGTGTGGGCCACAGGAAGAGTTTATCAACTGCGCGGACGTTGCCATAGGTATTTATAAAGTTAGATTTTCCTTGTTGTTGACATAGTGTTACGGACATAGTGTTGCGAACATACTGCACGGGGTACGTGAGAGATTGCAACACATCGTAAGCTACATAGTACTTGTATGCCCTTTTCACCTATTTAAGTAAGATGATCGTTTGTGCGGGAACTATGTACATGTACATGTACGTTGCCTTCCCACCGGAATTGCAATTATTACGGACAGTTCAGTAATTGATTATATATATATATATATATATATCAGCTAGGTCTGGATGCAATATGTTTTAAGCCTGTTTCTTGTTTCAGTCGCTGATGACAGCGGGTCATTTACAGGCAACTTGTCCACCAGCGCGGTGCCATCTACAGCTGCATCTTCCACCGTAGAGCCCTCTACCTCACCCACAAATACACCTTCAACAACTACAGTGTCCGTTCCCAGTGTCACAGGTTCCAATACGCTCCCTACCACTACCACTGCAACGACTACTCTTCCCACTGAAAAACCGCCTGCCACCCCAAAACCGACAACAGTGGAACCTACTACTACTTTCTCAACTACCACAACTACGGAGAAACCAACTACAACCATGAAACCAACTACTCCATCCACGACCACCACTACCACGGAGAAACCGACTACGACGCAAGAACCAACAACAACCATGAAACCAACCACTCCATCCAAGACCACGACCACCACGGAGAAACCGACTACCACGCAAGAACCAACAACAACCATGAAACCAACTTCTCCATCCACAACCACCACCACCACCACCACAACCACCACGGAGAAACCGACTACCACTGAAAAACCAACTACAACAATGGAACCAACTACTCCATCTACCACCACCACCACCACAGAGAAACCGACTACCACCGTAAAACCAACAGCAGCAAAAGTAACTACTCCCGAACCAACGACAACCAAGCGACCTGCCAAGCCCAACAAAGGACGCTTGGTGTGTGAGTGGGTGGGTCCTCAGGCTATTCGCTTCGGCATGAAGACTTGGTGCAGGAACAACTGTATGGCAGGGTACTGTCCTCCCACTCATTGTAGGTGCACTCGCCAGTAGACTGACCCCATTACAGACACCCTGAAGTTTAGAGCACTGACTTTACCCTGCTTGCCCTTAGGTAATAGAGGGTATATGTAGTATGCAACAGACTTTGAAAAAAAACAGGGTACTTTGGTAACGGCTTTACACATGTTATGAATATACATGTATATACCAGTGATTTTGATGGTGTTTTCTAAAAATGCCACGTTGGTAGTTTGAATAAAATGAGATTGCCAAACATCGATAAGAGTTTGATTATTGATTGCATTTATGATCGAACGAATAGTTTTGTTGATGTATTGAGTATCACTCTTCAGCACAAGCAAATCAACAATAGCAGGGCTTCTTAATTTTAAGAACCTTGACAATAGGGAACATCCGAGATAGCCTTTTTTGAACATCTGCGCAGCAGATGACGTCAAACGAGACCTGGATTGGAGCGAGATTTCACGAGAGGTGGGGTTAAAATCTGCCATTGAAACTTCTGTCGCGGTTGTGCACAAGTCTATGTTATAGGATTGCATTGAGTAAATTTTGGCGTTGTCATGTAATTTGAGATAGAGCAACGCAATGGCGAATTGCTAATGTTGTGTCGTAGGGTGCATTGCAGTAAAACCTAACCGAGAAAACCAGGAAAATGACCATGGATGACAGACACGACTGGCGAGAGAAGTGAAGTAAAGAAAGAGAAGTAGTTGGGCTTGGACTAAGTGCCGACATATTTAAAGTACAGATCAGGTCGCAGTATTTTGTAGGAAGAAAGGGACCAACTACAGACAACTAGCACCCGACACGTCACTGGCTTCATGGCATCACCGTATAGACCGTATCATCAACGGTCGAGTGACATATTAATAAGTAAGTTTTGTGTGTGTAGTTTACAGGACACCATGGTTTATTAACGTAATTACAGCCCTAGTACTTGTGATTAATAGTCTTTTACGATAACCAGGCCCGTAGCCAGCAATTTTAGAGGGGGGTCGTTTTCTGAAAAAGTGGACCTTTTACCATAAAATCCACTAGTACATAGATCAAATTGTACCCAGAGTGGATCTTTTCCCAGCAAAAAGGGTGGTTCTTTCGAACCCCCCAAACTCCCCCCCCCCCACCCCCGGCTACGGTCCTGGTAACTTTATATATATATATGCCTATGTATTGTACTGCACTAGTAATTTAATGAAGAAAATAATTTTTCTTGCTAGTATCATTTTTATGTTACTGTAGTGACTTTTTTAATAACTATATGACACCTGTTTTTCATATCATTTACTCGGATCACAAATACAAGTTCGCCTTTGATGTTGTGTTTATTTGTTGTATTTGTGTATAACTGTCAATAAAATGCAATGATTCTGTGAACATTTCAACTTATTTGTTGTCCATTTTAATACTTTCTTTTGCCATCTTTCCTGTCATTTAAGTCAGATCTGATCACAATAAAAGTTACATTTTGTGAATGCAATCCACTAGTTTCTATAGCATCATTTTCATAAGTAAATAAATAAAGAAAATTAACTTTGTGATCAAATTTGAGCTTTTTGGACTCGTTACTATAAATTTAGTGAAATTAAAACCAAGATGCAGGCAAGTCTAATGTTCTGATATGCAATCCATCAGTAAATGAAATGTCAAATGATTTTATTTTACTTCTTTAAAAATAAAGTTTAATAGTAAAACATTTATAAAGAAAAATAAGTTGCAGTTTTGAAGCTTTTGTTGTTCAAAATTTAAATTTAGTAATTATGATAACCTAAAAATGAAGCAATTAAGCCCTTGACAGCACTGGATTACTTTATTTACAAATGTCCAATGCTTGTAGAATGTACATGGATCTACTTTCAACATTGATCTCATTGAAAGCAAAACAGTCATGCCACTCCCATAAAGTGACAAAAAGGTTGCAAATGAATCTGACGTCAGTTGTACGTACATATTATATCAATACTTTTTCTTTATAAAGTGAAAAAATAACAAGCCTGTAGCTCAAAAATTTTGGAAGTTCAGCTATTTTTCAAGTAAAGAAATCGCTGCTCTACTTCCTTGTGGTCTCCATATTTTAACCCCACCTCAAGGCAGATCTCGTAAAATCACGGGGAAATGTGGTCTTCTCGTTGAGAACCCGGACAACCTCTATTAAGAGACATGTAATCCATGAACTTCCAGTAATACATGTAGATAAGTCTGTATAGAAGAATTTAGCACGGTGTGAGTGAAACCACCTTCGCATGCAGTTAAGACACACGATTGGCTGAGATATCGTGATAAAATTCAAAATCGACTGTTTGTCGTCACAGCTACCGCATTTGCAGATTAAACTAGTAATGCAGGTCATATTACATGTACCTTGAGTACCTGTAGAGCGATCATCAGACATTGTGTCGTGTCCTTCGTTACAATCTAAGTTGCAGATGCATTTCAATTCTACATTAAGTTTAATAATTTGTTCTTTCTTAATATACTGGTATTCGTCATTCCAATCTTTTTGCGCCATAATAGTTGTATCCACTTCATGAGACAGAATAAAAGCATCACTTCGTCTTCGCCCCCCCCCCCCACCCCCTGCATTCAAAAAATCTTATCATAAAAAGGTATAAAAGGGTCTTTTTTTAGCCTTACCCCCTCTGTTAAAATTCTAGGTCAGACTATGTATGGGGCATCCACTCGCTCTTCGCTCTCGTTTGCATAGCATATACCTCAGCGATTCGTACTGTAAAATTCAAAACAGTATTCTATAATTTGCCGGCGCAACTACCGCATTCAAGTCACAACAGAGAAACACCAGTTCCACCAATACAGATGAAGGACGACGGATCGAGTTTGGCCGTTGATGTCACAAGAATGAGGGACTCTGGATCCACATGGGCAGACGGGCACTGGTACCAAACTAAAGTCAATTCCCTGGCTTAGTTGGCTAGGATTTACCATGAGAGTGCTGTTACACTGCTCTTGATAGGGTAAGATGCGCCCATGTGACCATGTATATGTAGGCTTGGTAATTAAGATCATCATAGACAGGGAACCTGACTTAAGTGTATATATTTATAGATTGGGGTCTTTCATATACCTGTGCATGTGTACCTGACAGACCACTAGTGGATATCCACTTGAGTGGACATTTTTGCGGCGAAGTGGAGACTATCAAGTTCATGGCAGTTATTGACAATAGGATCTTAAATTGTTTTGCTGTTGTCCACATCATATGCATGTTTACTGATTCGTTTTTTTTCTGAAAAAAAAACTTTTACGCGTGAATTTAAATTCACCTTACAAAGCACTGAGGAATTGACGTATGTAAAATTAGGATTACAAAGTACGTGGTATTATCTGGGTTAAAGGTTGGATCTTTTTTTATTTGTAAATTTTCATATGCAATTAGGATTTATTGTGGTTACAGCAAAGGTATTTTGAAACACGTGTCATAAAAGTGTAGGCCATACTTTCTGGTCAGTTGTCTTAGAACAGCTCAACTGACATGGTATTTATCTAGTTTACCAGTAAAGCTCGATAGCATCACAGTGAACGTAGTAAGTGTGGTCAATTTTAAATGAAATGTTAAAACATTGTGCCTTGAGCTGTGTGAAATGTAGTTATATATCCTTGAGCTCTGGATACCGGCTTACGTGTACGTCATCAATTAGACGCACGGTATTAATTTACTCTACCTTTGCTGTCTGCCATCAACTATTGCAAATCAGAGAGAGAGAGAGAGAGAGAGAGAGAGAGAGAGAGAGAGACCATACGCCGATTATATTTTAGACCTAGGTGATTCTCTCTCTCTCTCTCTCTCTCTCTCTCTCTCTCTCTCCTGTACCAGTATTCATAAAAACATTACGTTATAGATTACCGCCAACCAATCATCATCTTATTTATGGTAGAGCAATTTAATGCTTTTGCACTAAAGCAGGGGAATAGGGCGCGACCCTTCACACCCTGGATAATAAAGCTGCCATTTGGCCTCGACACAGATGGAAAGGATAGGTCTTAATGTAAAGATGAAATGTTACGGAGTTAAAAGGCCAATACTGCATAAGAATCCAACGCAATAATGCCGTAGGCGATTGGTTTATTGCAATCTGATTGAAGTCTTATCAAATACGAGGGTTCCTATTGTGTATAGTTTATTATAATCCATCAAATGTAAATGGCACCAAAAAATTGGTCATTTCATCAAAGCGTAAAAGTGTTACAATTAAGTCAAGTTAATTTCCTCTGTTATTTCAAATAACGCGGTAGCTTTAGTTGTCTGCATGGGGAATTGTATTTGTGCACAATGGTATCATTTTACTTATATGGTAGACATGTTTTTGAATTAATCGGTCTTTTATTCTATTTTTGTTTGATATTTTCAATCTACATGTATGTCAAACTCACAGAGCCATGCGAGTGGAGATGCAAAGAGGGGTGAATTTAACAAAGAAAGCCAATTGTCCTTGGGAAGTTATTATTTCTACTTACTGTGGTTTGGTTAATATTTTTCTACGCATTTCCACAGCGAGCGTCATCTGCTTTTGGCGAATCTTAATTGTAATGGAGGAAATTGCTCCGGGCATTCCAGTGTTACAAATATGCCAATAGTGCGTCCATTTCGTCAATTTTAAGAAACATACCAGCGTATCTTTTCTTTTCACTTTGCCTCTGGTCTTCTGAGAAAAACATTGAACGCCCATCATGCAAAAAGGTAAAAGGTTTTGTGACTTTAAGTTCTAGAATGAGTGCATTAACGTAAAGAAGCAGACGACTAAAAGGTCACGCTGCAGTTTTTAGGATACAGTATCATGTCCAGGATAAATTGAAGCAGAAGTAATGTTTCCGAAACTGCTGTGAGAAATTAGTAGTAATCTTTCGCTGAATGAAATGTGAATGAAAGTCAAAGGTACTGAGTAAAAAAATTGATAAAGGTGAGTATGGGGTTAAGAGAACACGTTTGCTTTTTTTTCAATCCAAAAGTAGTGTTTAACTAAAACAATATATCCGAAAATCTAAATAAAGATTTGGCGTTTCTGGCGTGTAATCTTTAGTGTAATCGATAGACAAATACAAAAAATGAGAACATACATGTATCATTACATAACAATCTGTCTAATATCATTATATTTTGGCGTTTCCTACCCATGCCAATTAGTTTTACTCATAGTAATTTATCTGTAACTTTATTCAGAAAAATAAAGGGCTTTTGTGGAAAAGCTGGCATAAAAAAAAAAGGGGAAAAGACAAGCGTCTCGTCGGTGAACTTTTGAACAGTATGACACAGCTAAGAAGCACCTATTTCAAGGACAGTCTAACATAAAACTCCCTATCTAGCAACACGTGGATATCGTAGAATAAGCTACTGCATTTTTCACTTAGTGTTTCTACATAAAACATCGCTTCAATACTCACGTCTACTTCCGTCTGAACTGTTACTATTTCTATTCCCACTGCACCGTTTTATTACGTCAATTATGCCATTAAACAATCGAATAGGTCTTAACATACATTGACAGAACGCAATAAATCCTTTTGCGTTCCAACACCGACAGGGGTCTTTGAGTCATTTATCAAAAATCAGTTTCACAAACTGAATTGCGTTCAATTACAATTAATGAAATTTCTCTTTGCTTAATGGTTTTACGGAAGGTGTGATCAGACGAGAACGTTCTTAGACTGGCAATGTGCCTTTTGCCGTTAGACCAGGAATGTGAATGAGGTTCACCTCCCAACACAGAGAGAGTTAAGTAACCAGGGATGATTTTGTTATCCTGGATTATTATCTGACATACAAAATCTCTCTCTCTCTCTCTCACTCTCTCTCTCTCTCTCTCTCTCTCTCTCTGTGTGTGTGTGTGTGTGTGTGTGTCTGTTTCTGTCGCTCTTTCTTTCTCTCTCCCTCTGTCATGCCCTCTATCACTCCCCAACGGTAGCCTAGGGATTCTCAAGTATATAAAAAGTGTTCAAAAAACAACTATTGCTTTCACCAGAAGTATCATAACGGTGTAAAAAGATCTAACGTGTCTCACGTCACGCTCCAATAATAATCACGGAGCGTGGCGTGATTCCACATGACAATCGGCTCTCAAAAGTTATCCTATAGTAGCTGCAAAACTGCTGCACATAGCTCTATTTGGTTTCTTAGTACGACCACTCTAATTGGTATCATCAGTCTAAAATTGTCCTTTGCCATTGGCAACCTTGCGGGGTCTTCAACAGCCACCAAGTTTAATTCCATCGCAACCAGGAACCTGATGCGAACACTGGCCAGTGTTCGAATTAGTTTCCTGCGGAAACATCAATAACACAGTGACAAGTCAATATCCAGTGGTTGCGATGGAGTTAAACTTAGTGGCTGTTGAAGACCAAATAACAATAGCTCGATTTTAGTAATAATTGCAGATGAAATATAACCTTAAAGGCACGCAACCAGCATGCCGATTGACTTGAGATTCTACTACCACCTGTAAGACCTATTGGAGAGCAAGCAACATGTGAGACAATATCACTCCAAAATGACACTTCTAGCGATGGTCTCTGGTTGCTAGATATTTGCGACTGTTTTGAACAGCCCCACGTGTATTCAAACCCTTAGGCAACCGATAAAATGTATTGTGGATCAAAAAAGGCTGTTTGAGGGACCATCGAGGTCACTTTGGCCGCAATCACAACAGTGTGGTAACAGATCCGCGAATCGTATATGGCGGACTCACTTGAATGTGTGTTGCTCAATCCCCGCGGGGAATCTATTCAGTGTTTATTAGGGGATAAGGCGGCAAGTTGTTAAGTGGGCCTCCATATTTGATCCGAAGACCAGTAGGTCCGTTGTTCTGAATGCATTGGTCGCGACTTTGCACCACCAGGGCGATTATCTGAGATGGATGATGAAAGTGGACCCCCCCCCAAAAAAAAAAAAAAAAAAAAAAAAAGGAAAAAAAAAGAAAATTATAAATTTAAAAAAAAGAGAAGAAAAAGAAACCCATCCTCCATTTAGTATCAAGCCAAGCCTTAACCAAACACGCGTGAGTCGTACTCGTCTGAACTGGACTCGAGGCCACCATATGATTCAAGAAAGTACATTTAAAAGGCACGCAGACGTGTTATCATGCTGTGATCCTGGATTCCCTTAACTCGTAAAACATGGGCTAAACATTACATTCACTGACGTGACACGACTAGGGGAAGTAGCGAGTTTAAAGAATTGATTTACTTAAACAATTCCCGCCCCTGTGCTAAGCGCGGACACCTCGTGTCTCATTAGTGGCGACCTTAAAGGTTCTATAAAAGGACGCGAGGAGTTCGAAGAGGGGTGCCCTTGCTGCGGTATTATCAGTTTATCGTGAGGCTCAATTTGAGAAAAAGTAAGACACTCCGTGGATGGATATGATATCCGTTTTGATAAAGTGTGTGAATTACGCCATAATTTGGAATACCAGTTGCTTTCATTGGGTAGATTTTTAATTGAAATTAATTGATTTCATGAACAATGGAAATACTTTAAAGCTGTGGTTTGCACCACATGTAGGTTGTGTGGTAGACGCCGCCTTCGTGAAGACCCCCTGGTAGCCTAAGTTCTCCCTGGTCTTCATTAGCGTTCCAGCTTCCAGGATGCCCTTAATACATATGACAGGAGAAAAAAAAGCATATAAATAGTAAAGAAAATGATGGTGTGGGTCATTTTCTGCTACTAGAAACCTCTCATTTCCTGACATAGGAGCTGACAACCTACGTACATTAAAGGTGAGATATTGTCAACGACTTTATTATTGGTTATTGTAGACCAAGTTAGACATGTATATAGCTGCAGCGTCCCGACAGTTTGGCTGTCAGAATCTTATGGTCAGTAGTCAGTGTGGTTTCAACTGTAAGATTCAGCTCTGCCTAGAATATTGCAAAAATAGGATTACGATATTCTGATGCTGACGGCTTACGCACGTTAAAGGTGAGAAAATGCAACTGTTCTGATATTCAGAGTATTTGTATCTTAACGAATATTATTCTACAATTTTATTAATTGTGGCTCTGTGGCTTTTATTGTGACCACCGCACCTGACAATGATAATTATTTGCAATTTAACGCCGTTTTAATCAGCCTTGAAATTTGGCGATTNCGTTTAAGGTGAGAAAATGCAACTGTTCTGATATTCAGAGTATTTGTATCTTAACGAATATTATTCTACAGTTTTATGAATTGTGGCTTTTATTGTGACCACCGCACCTGACAATGACAATTATTTGCAATCGAACACCGCCTTAATCAGCCTTGAAATTTGGCTATGCTTTTTGTAGCGAAAATGTAGGCATATAACCCCCGTCTAATCAAACGCGTCACAAAAACACCCGCATTCTCAAGCAGACACAAAAGACAGTTCTCGCACTATGGAAAACTGTCACACGCGCACATGCATGTGCCCGCACGCATCCAAACAATGCCCATGGCATAAGTCAATCAACAACCGACCTTTCGTTAGCTTGAGGTGGTCCTGAACTTAAGACCCCCCCCCCCCTGAAATAGAGCTCATTTGACCTGCGCGGGGTCACAAAATCTGATAAACAAAACTCTGTAATTAAGGTTTACTATTCCACGTTTCTCCCTAGATACATAAATTATATTTGTCCTGTAAACAAGCACAATGTCGCTCTGCTTATGAGGACTAAGGTCCACCAAATGTGTGTAAAGTGTCAGGAAAAGAAAAAGATTGAGAGGTTTTATAATGATGCTAATAGCAACCGGTAGGCAGCACTTGAAGATGTCGAGTTTTTGGGGTCTTTATTGTGTGTTGGACCTATTTTTCTTTTTAAGTGTTCCTAAATCCCGGTGTATAGAAAGTTCGTATTTAATATCTGTGGTGACTACATTTAAAAAAATAATTAAATATAGCATACATGTTTTCTAATTCAACTGACCTTTCGATGCTCTTGTGTTAGGTTATAAATGGGCGAAATTGCAGTTAAAAATCGAATTTGATATCCAAAAATTTTTTTTTAAAAAATCTGAATTCTGAAACATGTAGAAATTATTAACAATATTGACATGTAAAATAATAAACAACTTAAGAAAGCTTTAATACCTATTTTGAGAAGCGAAAAGGTGTGTTCGCTGCATGGAAATTATTTGTTTAACTACCACAGGGCCATCGATTCTGTAACATCTCCAGTTGTAGCTCACAGTCGACATACATAACTAAGATATCTATGGTCCGGTATTGTTATAATTATACATTTTTGGTGAATAAGACAAATCTTTCAGACCAATATTCGACACTGACTTATAATTAACACGGAGTGCTACAAGTATTTTAGCTCTTATCTATTGCAATCGTGTAAGAGCCACGACTTACGTAAGTAGCTCAATGAACCGACTGATTCATGCGAGATTAGGTCGGGCTGACTGTAGACGAAGCAAACGGGGGCTCGCTTTCCTGCATAAATACCAATGATAAAACATGCCTGTCGTGTACCTGACGACCTCAGATTTAAAAATAGTTTCAAAATGTCACTTAAATTATGAGAACCAGCAAAACCCATTAATTAGGAACGAATCCCGCATACATATACAACGTTCGGGTCTTTGATGTTTTATGAAAATAAATCTTACCTCGTGCCCAAATCATATTAAATAATAGAAAGCGGACGCTCAGGGGTAAACTCTCCCAGGCCGACAAAGTTATAAAAAAGAAAGAACAGGAAAAAAGGAAAAAGGACGGGACAACAATAGCTGTAATTAATCTTCCGCGAAAACCTGTCGTATCCTTTAAAATCTGGCATCATAAGTGTAGTGCGACGGGAACACATGGTTCTATCTGGGTGAGCGTTTATTCTGGATTCGTTAAGTCCCACAAAAATACCGTCTTAGGGAGGTCTACATGGCGCAGTGAAGTGCAACTTTTACTTTCCCGCACGTGTGCAGAAAATATCAAAATGTTCCTGACGGTCGGAATTACTTTTTTTTTTCATTTTACAGTGGCTTTGTTGTTCCGTATAAATTGATGCGGATGCACGGCTTCTGACGAAAAAAATGTGTAAACTCTGTTTTTTCACCTTTGCAATCCCACATTATCTCGTACTTGATTGCTTCAGTAGCTTTAAATTGGCTAAATTTTCCTTTTTACAAATCATTAATAATTCTTCTTTTTTTTTTTTGCTCTTTCTTTTGTCTTTTTGGTTTTTTTGAACTTCTGTGTACTAGCCTAGAAGTTCATTACCATAATTTACAATCCTCTCAGTCAGTTGGCTTTTTATCTGACATTCTACAAAGACAGCTGCTGTGCTTAACCAACAGTTTCTCTGCTGATCATGCTCTTTTTCTTTTATTTCGGAAAGGCCTATACGTAATAACGAAATACTGATTTTGAAAAAAAAATTGTTGGTGATATCTGTCCAGCATCGGGCGTGCCCCCCCCCCCCCCCCCCCCCCCCCCCATGATA